GCAAAAAAAAAAAAAAAAAGGATTTTTGACCCTGGCTTCAATATAAATGTCCAGATTTCTGAACAAATTAGTGCATATTAGTCAGTCAATTTTATTCATAGAGCACATTTAAAAGCAACAGCTGTTGGCCAAAGTGCTGTACAAAATTTAAGCATATACCAAAATACAAAAGTAAACATAGAACAGCGACAGATAGTACACTACAGTTATGCCACTGCGCTTACTTATGACCATATGCAACAGTAAATAAATACGTTTTAAGAAGAGACTTAAAATCAGCATATGTTGGTGCAGTTCTTATATAGGGTGGCAACATGTTCCATAGCTGAGGAGCAGCCACTGAAAAGGCACAATCTCCTTTTTTATACTTATATTAATTAGATAATTCATTATTTGTATAATTGCACAGCATTTCAGAAAACTTAATACAAAAAAAAAAGTCTTAATGTACTGTGATTAATCAAGTGGTGAAATGTGTGGTGTTGTTTTTTTTCAACATTCACCTGTGCCATCTTGCCTTAAATTGTAGCCTTGATAATAAGGCTGTTAATTGAGATTGTAAAAAAGAAGCATAGTCACTCACAGATAATAGATTTATAATATTGTCCAATCTCAAACTTTAAGGGTCTTATACAACAGTATAAAAAAGGTTAATATTCAATAACTTACATTTTAGACGCAGTTGTCCAGTTACTTTGTCTATTTTTTGCTCCACCAATAAAAAAAAATCTAAAGAAGGTAAAAGCAGAATCTATGGAAGCACATTTCTGCCTTGGAATAAACATAAAAAAGGTAATTGTGACTTTTTTTCATCACAATTCCGAGTTTATATCTTGCGATTATTTTTTTCCTTCTGACTTCGGAGTTTACATCTTGCAGTTCTGTTTTTTGTTTTTTTGTGACTTTTTATCTAACAATCATGTCATGGCAATTAATCAGTCTCACCTGTTGCTTGTTAGTGCTTTTGCTGCGTTCAAGTCCTGGGACGTTCGTACTTACGAGTTGACAAGTCGTAATTACGACGTCAGGTGCATTCAAGTCAGTTTAGTCGGCAGTGTAGTAGTTAGGCGGTGTACCTTCTTTTAATAAATTACAAGAAAATACAACAAGGTCTGCATTTTTTTTACTTGGATTTCAGCTGCGTAACAAGAACATGACCAATTTAAGTTTATAGGACAACTAAACTATCAATTTCAACAAAAATTTACTGTCAACTACAGACGTTGCATCCATCGATTCCGCCATGTTTCTCATTGACACACCCCCAACTCGGAAACTCGGGGCTTAAAGAAAATTTCGAGTTTCCCACTCGTAATAACGACTTTGTGGTGGCGTTCATGTGCATTCAACTTGTAAATACGATCTATCCGACATAACTTGAACGCGCCATTTGTTCTTATGTGTTAATAGCCCTTGTGTTTCATTTGCACTTTGTCAGTCAATGTTTGCTGTTAGTTTTGTGTGCCTTCCTGTTCTCTACGAGACAAATGTTCTCTACATGACAAGACTTTGATCTTTCTTTTATTGCAAGAGTATTGCTTAACATAAATAAGGCAACAACAAATGTTTCAAATGGAAGATATACAGCGAAAAAACGTCAAACAGTTTTACATGTCCAATAAAAGGTGCTACTTTAAAGGCCTAATGATATGCTTTCATAGAGGCACACGGGCGCCTGCGTGTAGGTTTCTGAAAAGTAAGCCACCTCTGAAACAGAAAGAAATGAAGAAAAGACAGAGGCTGCATGAGCAAGTCATTAATAAGCCTTGAAGAAAGACAGAAAAGAGAAACATGTCAGACGTGACGTGCAGATGAAAGAACCAGAGGCAGGCGGTTTTAGTGTCATGCAGCGTGCATTTACACAGGCTCTGGAAGGTCAAAGACACTACGACTGCAGAAAGTGACCTTGCAGACGATCACCTTTGGATCAGCATTGCTCACAGCAAGTCAGGAGCAGACGAAGTGGAGAGGTCGAAAAGGACTACAAGTGAATAAAAAAGGAGAAACATACATGAGAAGTGACCCATATTAAAACGCAGCCTGTAAACAGTGTTTCGAAATGAGCTGCTAATGCACAAAAATGGATTTAATTATCCGTGCTTTATTTTCATGCATGTCATTTGATGATCAATCTGCAATCACTATCCATACCAATAAACAGATCAAAATCGAACAATCGTCTTCCAGTGTCAACAAAAAGTATGTTTCATATTATTAATACTTCTCAGTAAGTTCTGACTGGAAAAATTTTAATTGCACTTAAATGTGTTACTGTAAATTCTCTAAGTACAGAATGTTCCTGCCCTCAGACAGTACATTATAGGTGGCAAATGACATCAAAAGAAACCGCAGTAACAGTCCAGTGAATCAAAAGAGAGGATGTTTACAAGAATGCCTAGTAGTGTTTCTGCCACGACTCATAGTGTGACAAGTCTTTCATTCAAACCAAAGCTACTATACTGGTGCATTAGTAGTTTGATGGTGCATGTAATGTGACACAAATCTGAGTGACACAAAACAGGATGTGCATTTGGAACCGTTGAGTGGCTCTGCATGAGAACTATATACAAATAAGCCTGAGAACAAAGTATAATGCTTACATATTTGCTCTTTGTTACATAGAGGGATGCATGATATCTGTAGTCATGTTAGCCAGTAAATGTGACTTTTTCATGTTATCGGTTTCGGTCCAATATGTAAAATAAGCTGATTGGCCTATATTTAATTGATAAATTATGGCCAAATGATCATAGGACCCCACATAAAAAAAAAAACTACATAAAATAAAAATAAAATAAATGTTTAATCAGAGCCTGTAGGATTTATTTTTGTTATTATTGCTTTATTTTAAATGATTGTTTATTTTGATTCTTTGTTATATTATCGTTGTTATACATAGGCATGTATAATTTCTTTATTCCAATGGTTCATAGAATGTCAATTTGTTATATTATTTTAGGAAAACAATCATTATGTATGTATGTATGTATGTATGTATTTATTTTCTTTTTTTCCCCCTGTTGTTGCACCTCATTTAAATCTGGATTTTTAAGGTGAGCATTTTTTGTAATCAATCTCACAAAACATTGATATGTAATATCACCCAACATTTTGACTTCAAAATATAAATAATTATTGCTATCTGCTAAAATGTCCATATCGGTGCATCCCTAGTTACATATACACCACATGTGTAAGAGCATAGACAGTCTCAGCTTAGAGTTTACAGTTAAACTTTAAGTTAAGCTCTATGGACCACGGGCCTGTACCATGATGGTGGCTGAACAAACTTGGGGTTACAGGATTAGTTTTCAGGTGACAAAACCAAACCAGTCCAATCCGGCTTTGTTGGTACCATGAAGCTGATCATCAACTTTCTCTGTCAACTCAGGCTTGATCCTAAATTCCGTGATCCGTGAGCACGTGCACACGAAAGAGTGACGTCATCAGTAATGAACAGCCAATCACATGCCTCGTCCTTTAATTTGGAGTAAGATAAACTGGGGGAGTGGCTTTATTGCATCAGAGATGTGTCACTTTGCTTGAAGCTGATTGGTCAAATTTCGGTTTGATATCTCTAAACCAGAACATAACCTGCCCCAGAGCAGGTTAGCCGTGAAGTGTAAGTTACTAAGGCAATGAATGCCACTAAAAGCCAAGCCACTTTCATGGTACCTAAAACCCAGGATTGGTGCAAACTAAACTGAAACTTACCTGGCTAGCCAGCTAAACCGGCTTCATGGTACAGGCCCCAGATCTAAACCAGGCTGGATTTGTTTGGTTTTGTCGACTCTAAACCTGCTCTGAAACTCACAGACACTCACCTGTTTCTTATATGGAGCGATGACGCCGATGTCTGTCGCTGAGATGGGGTTGTAGAGTCTCTTCGCGAGCTGGCAGCAGTACATCATGACTTGCACAGCTTCAGCGGGATTGAACCACGACGGATTATTGCCCTCTCAATTTTAAAGCACACTTTTGTTCTGATGAATTACTACAGACGCTTTGATAGAAATACGAGATGCATATTTTGCATATTTCCCCTCTGCAATGTCTTGTTCCATAGACTTCCATTGTAATTCTTGTTTGTTTTAACAATATGAAGGATGAAATGCAGTTATTGTTTGTGGTAGTCGACAACATTTTTCACAGATGCTATCAATAGATTAGCTTGTGTTGAACCCGGAACATTCCTTTTAACAGCCATGCTGTATGTTTTTCATAAGAAGTGTAAACGTGCGAGAAGAATGTGACTTCCATGTTCCTGAATGGCTAACAGAGTAGACGAGACGTGTTTGCAGCTTGATCGGTCAGGTTTTGTGAACTTGTAGTCTCAACAAAGAACGTTCATTAATAATTAAAAGCAGAACGTCACTCTTAATCGTGCATATGAAGGCAGCTCACTCATTAAAGTGCTTAAAGTTCACTCCGTGTTTGACACTTTTTTTTCTCTTTACTCAAATCTTTATAACTGAGAAAGGCTTTGGTATTTTGTGCACAATCCAAACCAGGCCATTTCATTTCTACTCTCTGAAAAAGTAACATCTGCTACTTTCCATCTCAAGGTTGTTCAATGTGTTTTTCAGTTTTGAATAAATATCCACAGTCATTTTCAACTACATATTAACCCTTTTAAAGGGACCTGATGATGTTTCTCTCACACCAAGTCCCAGTGGCCCATGTGCTCTTCCAGCCAGTGCTGCAGAGGCTGTAGATTGAGAGGTCTGGCCTCTGCGTACATTTGGACGAGCTGTTCATGGAGAACGGCGAGCAGAGGCAGACTCACACTGAGCAGTTCGTACAGGAAGGCGTAATCCTCGGCATTATCCCTCAGGTGGACTCCTGTGGCCCACGCTTTACCATGCAGCCAGTTAAACACACGACGAGGCACAGCACACACATGCAGCGGCCAGCGCAGGCTTCTCTTCAGTGAGGACAGGATACCTGGAGACTCTTCCTGGAGATGATGCTCACGTCCCTCTGGACTCCAGCTGGACCCGTTGTGAGAGTCGGCATTACACGTCTGAAGAAAAAAATATTAATAAAGGTGTGCTGTAAGACAACTATCAATAGATGAAGCATAAATTAGTTTTTACCGTGTGTAGAATTTGTGTCCTCCCATTCTTCACTAAGGGTTTCCTTTGTGCAAAGTGGAGTTTGCAGTACAACTTTCCTACAGCAGCAAAATAAACCATTATAATCCGTTAGTGTAACGGTGCAGTCACATTTACCATTGCCCTGTGAAATTTTATGGGTAAAATCCAGTCATCCAGTGGACATGGCTTTTTCACCTAATGCAGAACGCTAATTTGAGCTATTCGTGGAAATATCCATGTGCAATGTTTATTTATTTCTTTCTCACTCTTAATAATCATTTTATTGGTTGAATAGAATGAATGGGTTCATTTGATTCACACTGTATGTTTCAATTAATCAAAGTGGGAAAAATGTGGAAAAATATATTTAAGGTTGCTGTGACAAAAAGTTTGGAAATGCTCAACTTCATGCAAATGTCAAGTGAAAAACACCAGGCGGCAGCCAATCGCTGTCAGGAGCAGGTAGAGACGTTTTTTTTTTTTTAATTGCAGTTCATGCGAGTGTTTCTGATGGATTATGTGTAAATCATATTGTTTACATGCAGTTGTTACATATATGTTTAATATTGTAGTTTGGCCGCTGTCATTGTGAATAGACTAGCCAGGTTTACAAATGTTTATTAATTTGTCATGTTATCTTGACTTTAGACATTCAGAAACAATGCCTGCATCTTTCAAAACTGTAATCTCGTGTATATATTATATTTGCTGTGTACTGAAAATGAAAAACTATAAAATAAAAAACTACACAAACTATAAATAAATTATAAACAATCCCTATAAGAATGGAGTTGGTACTATTTTTAGTACTTAAGCAGTTCTAGTTTTTTAGTCAGGCTCTTAAACACTGTATTTATTCATAGATTACTACATACGATTTTAATAAACAACTTGGATGCTAACTACTGACAGATTCTCCTTGAAACCGCTTGTGTCTGTGGGCTGACCTCTTTTTGCAATATAAGAGATGGCCTGGAAATTAATGGCATACAGTAGTCTACCCAAATAGTCGGTCATACAAAGTTAAAGTTTAAGAAGACTTGGAATATAGTAATTTGGACTACTTTCATGGTGATTTGTGTCATTTTTAGAACTTGACAGCTTTAGTTCCTATTCACCTTCATTGTATAGTAGGGCTGGGTTTTGACACAAATTTCACGATTCGATTCGATTCTCATTCACAAGCTTGCGATTCGATTCGATTATTTTTTATATATATCAGGTACAGTACATGCCACATTTTCTCAAGGAAAACAAAAACTCTCAACTAATGCTGTAAAATATACATGAGAGTCAGTTGGTACTACATTACTATAATATTGAAGGTTAAAATGAACTGATTTGTTAAAATTACACTTAATGAAGTTTTTAAAATAATAAAGTTACAATTACATCATAATATTTCTACTTCAATTCATTTTTTTGAAATATAAACAATGGTGGCTGTCATAAAAACTTGATGGATTTATTCAAACATAAATTAAACATTGAAGAACAGTCAAATTTATAATTAATATGTTATATGGTGCATATATTTAGCTAAATGCCCCTCTCTACAGTTTATTTTTCTATCTGACTAATGAGTTTATGGTGACCGAATATGTTTTTCTGAGGTAAATGTGGCATTACGTGACATGTGTCACTTTGCTTGAAGCTGATTGGTCAAATTTCGGTTTGATATCTCTAAACCAGAACATAACCTGCCCCAGAGCAGGTTAGCCGTGAAGTGTAAGTTACTAAGGCAATGAATGCCACTAAAAGCCAAGCCACTTTCATGGTACCTAAAACCCAGGATTGGTGCAAACTAAACTGAAACTTACCTGGCTAGCCAGCTAAACCGGCTTCATGGTACAGGCCCCACATCTGTGATACACAGATTAACACAGAAAATAATTGCATAAACCAGCAACATTTACAGTAATGCACTTACAATGGAAGCCTATAGAACAAGACAATATACAGGAATTAACAATAAAATACAAAATTATCACACGGTTTTGAAAGTGCACCCACAAGACAGCACATTGTGTTAAAATAGACCAGTATGTTAAAACCACTAAAAATGTCAATTTTAAAGCGCAGATAACACACTTTTGTTCTGATGAATTACTACAGACGCTTTGATAGAAATACGAGATGCATATTTCTGCTTTAAACCCTCTGCAATGTCTTGTTCCATAGACTTCCATTGTAATTCTTGTTTGTTTTAACAATATGAAGGATGAAATGCAGTTATTGTTTGTGGTAGTCGACAACATTTTTCACAGATGCTATCAATAGATTAGCTTGTGTTGAACCCGGAACATTCCTTTTAACAGCCATGCTGTATGTTTTTCATAAGAAGTGTAAACGTGCGAGAAGAATGTGACTTCCATGTTCCTGAATGGCTAACAGAGTAGACGAGACGTGTTTGCAGCTTGATCGGTCAGGTTTTGTGAACTTGTAGTCTCAACAAAGAACGTTCATTAATAATTAAAAGCAGAACGTCACTCTTAATCGTGCATATGAAGGCAGCTCACTCATTAAAGTGCTTAAAGTTCACTCCGTGTTTGACACTTTTTTTTCTCTTTACTCAAATCTTTATAACTGAGAAAGGCTTTGGTATTTTGTGCACAATCCAAACCAGGCCATTTCATTTCTACTCTCTGAAAAAGTAACATCTGCTACTTTCCATCTCAAGGTTGTTCAATGTGTTTTTCAGTTTTGAATAAATATCCACAGTCATTTTCAACTACATATTAACCCTTTTAAAGGGACCTGATGATGTTTCTCTCACACCAAGTCCCAGTGGCCCATGTGCTCTTCCAGCCAGTGCTGCAGAGGCTGTAGATTGAGAGGTCTGGCCTCTGCGTACATTTGGACGAGCTGTTCATGGAGAACGGCGAGCAGAGGCAGACTCACACCGAGCAGTTCATACAGGAAGGCGTAATCCTCGGCATTATCCCTCAGGTGGACTCCTGTGGCCCACGCTTTACCATGCAGCCAGTTAAACACACGACGAGGCACAGCACACACATGCAGCGGCCAGCGCAGGCTTCTCTTCAGTGAGGACAGGATACCTGGAGACTCTTCCTGGAGATGATGCTCACGTCCCTCTGGACTCCAGCTGGACCCGTTGTGAGAGTCGGCATTACACGTCTGAAGAAAAAAATATTAATAAAGGTGTGCTGTAAGACAACTATCAATAGATGAAGCATAAATTAGTTTTTACCGTGTGTAGAATTTGTGTCCTCCCATTCTTCACTAAGGGTTTCCTTTGTGCAAAGTGGAGTTTGCAGTACAACTTTCCTACAGCAGCAAAATAAACCATTATAATCCGTTAGTGTAACGGTGCAGTCACATTTACCATTGCCCTGTGAAATTTTATGGGTAAAATCCAGTCATCCAGTGGACATGGCTTTTTCACCTAATGCAGAACGCTAATTTGAGCTATTCGTGGAAATATCCATGTGCAATGTTTATTTATTTCTTTCTCACTCTTAATAATCATTTTATTGGTTGAATAGAATGAATGGGTTCATTTGATTCACACTGTATGTTTCAATTAATCAAAGTGGGAAAAATGTGGAAAAATATATTTAAGGTTGCTGTGACAAAAAGTTTGGAAATGCTCAACTTCATGCAAATGTCAAGTGAAAAACACCAGGCGGCAGCCAATCGCTGTCAGGAGCAGGTAGAGACGTTTTTTTTTTTTTAATTGCAGTTCATGCGAGTGTTTCTGATGGATTATGTGTAAATCATATTGTTTACATGCAGTTGTTACATATATGTTTAATATTGTAGTTTGGCCGCTGTCATTGTGAATAGACTAGCCAGGTTTACAAATGTTTATTAATTTGTCATGTTATCTTGACTTTAGACATTCAGAAACAATGCCTGCATCTTTCAAAACTGTAATCTCGTGTATATATTATATTTGCTGTGTACTGAAAATGAAAAACTATAAAATAAAAAACTACACAAACTATAAATAAATTATAAACAATCCCTATAAGAATGGAGTTGGTACTATTTTTAGTACTTAAGCAGTTCTAGTTTTTTAGTCAGGCTCTTAAACACTGTATTTATTCATAGATTACTACATACGATTTTAATAAACAACTTGGATGCTAACTACTGACAGATTCTCCTTGAAACCGCTTGTGTCTGTGGGCTGACCTCTTTTTGCAATATAAGAGATGGCCTGGAAATTAATGGCATACAGTAGTCTACCCAAATAGTCGGTCATACAAAGTTAAAGTTTAAGAAGACTTGGAATATAGTAATTTGGACTACTTTCATGGTGATTTGTGTCATTTTTAGAACTTGACAGCTTTAGTTCCTATTCACCTTCATTGTATAGTAGGGCTGGGTTTTGACACAAATTTCACGATTCGATTCGATTCTCATTCACAAGCTTGCGATTCGATTCGATTATTTTTTATATATATCAGGTACAGTACATGCCACATTTTCTCAAGGAAAACAAAAACTCTCAACTAATGCTGTAAAATATACATGAGAGTCAGTTGGTACTACATTACTATAATATTGAAGGTTAAAATGAACTGATTTGTTAAAATTACACTTAATGAAGTTTTTAAAATAATAAAGTTACAATTACATCATAATATTTCTACTTCAATTCATTTTTTTGAAATATAAACAATGGTGGCTGTCATAAAAACTTGATGGATTTATTCAAACATAAATTAAACATTGAAGAACAGTCAAATTTATAATTAATATGTTATATGGTGCATATATTTAGCTAAATGCCCCTCTCTACAGTTTATTTTTCTATCTGACTAATGAGTTTATGGTGACCGAATATGTTTTTCTGAGGTAAATGTGGCATTACGTGACATTGTTTACAAGCCGTTATATTGACGTCTTTGCGCAGCTGAAACACTGATTGAGCGATTACTTGAGACAGGATACGGATTGTAAAGTTATACTCTTTCTTTTATCTTACCTTCGGATGTTTAGTCATGTTTATTTTGTGCTGAAACTGGTATTAATGTGGAGGAGATGATCAGTTCACGTGCGCTACGCGCAGTGTTGGGAAGGTTACTTTGGAAATGTAATAGGTTACAGATTACAAGTTACCCTATTTAAAATGT